GATATTATTTTCTATATTGAGTGAAAATATTGGAGGAAATTAAATTGATGAATTTTGAGGAAGTTTTGCTTTCGTCCATAGTTGGATTTATTTTGTGGCCATATTATTTGGATAAATTTAATGTATCTAGTATCTCTTTAAAGTTTCTCTTCTTACGGAGGGGAGTGCTGTGACTTTTCTTATGGTCATTTTAAGGGGCCTGACAATTCTTATATGCCATATCCTAAGGACAAGACAATTCCTACACTAAGGAGGATGCTATAAGGGGGAGGACTAGAAGGAAGCTTCAGAGAGGAAAATGAAGAAATTAACCCTAGTGTATCATATCTTTATTTCCTGGCCTACAAAATAAGAACACACAGTTGATACACAACCTTTTGTAATTTCAGAAAAACTTAGTGAACTCGGAATGCTTTTATTGGATATGTAAAAAGCATGAAGCATTCTATGTGGAACTTTAATTTATGTCAGTTCCTCGTGAAATTGTTTTCCATAACCACGCATGAAGAGATTAATCTTTTTTTTTCTTTTCCAAACTTTAAGCAAAGTAAGCTGATGGGCTGCAGATTAGGATCTAGACTAATTAACCCTACCAAATACAAAGGTTATCCATTACAGGGAATCTCAAATTCTGTATGAAGAAAAGAATTCAAATTTGGTACCTTCATCTTAATAAGATCTCACAGAAAGCGATATACTATATATCATATATTGTATGTTTTGCTTTTGATCTTTGCTGGACGTGATGTTTTGATTATAGTTACATGACTAATTGATTTGATAATAGTTACAGGACTAATTGATTCACAATTTTGCCTTTTTATTTTTTTATTTTTTAATGTATTTGAAGGTAACCCTAAGAAATGAACGATCTACATCATGAAACCAATTGTGAAATAGGGCCAAACTAGTGGTTTCTTTCGTATGAAATTTTGGTGATCTTACCTACGGGTATAAGTTTGAAAATTTTCCTCTAAGATATTTAGTGTGTAGGTTTCAGGGGAGGAACCACTCCTGGCCTCGGCCCCCCAAATTTTTTTACCTCCCTCCTCTAGTATATTATAGGGCTAACATCAAAAGACACCCTTTAGGTTTAGGGTCATTTTTAATATGGGCTCCTGAGTATCAATTTCATCAATTTACACCATAATGTTTTCAAACTTGTCCAATTTTATCATTCCGTTAAGTTCATTGTATGGTCAATCGTTAAATGCTGATGTGGTGCATGTGGGGGCCATTTTTTTATTTAATTGAAATAGAATATTATTTAAAAACTATAATTAAATTTAATAAATAATTATTAAATATTAGAAAACCTAAAAAATCCAACAACAAAAAACCATGCTCTCTCACTTTCCCTCTCTCCGGGAAAAACTCAATCGCTCAAACTCCATTGCCGCTGCCCAGCTCCTCCTCACGCCCAAATCCATCGTTCTCTCTCTTTCACCAAGCCCCCAGCGTGACGGCTGCGGCAATTCCGATGAGGCCGGTTCTGGAGCTGAGCTCGAGGATTTGCAGAGGCCTGCGACGCGAGTCCAAGGCTGTGAGAGTGGGGCCGAGTGGGCCGGTGCTAGGGTTCGGTGGTGGTCGTCGTGGAGAGTGAGGAGTGTGGTGGCGGCCAGCTAGCCCTCCTAATCTGTTTCCATGGCCACTTCAGACTCAGTGTAAGAGAGAAGGGTGGATTTGGGCAGTGGCCATGGCGAATCTAGGCATGGTGGAGGAGCTGGGCAATGTCGCGGGGAGGGGGGAGGAGCTGGGCAGTGTCGCGGGGAGGGGG